AAAATCTAAAGAGGAGAAATAAGTGAAAGACGAAATAAGGAGCTGTTAGAAGCAAAAAGAAAAAAATGATGAGGATTTGTGAAAAAAGAGAGGGAGAGAGGAGGGAAAAAGAGAAGGAAAGCAGGACAACAGCTTAATTAGTTTAATACTTTCAAAAATCAGAAAAGGTTACTAATTTGGACTTTTCTTAGGGTGAAAAAACAAACAAAATAGAAAAAAAAAAAAGGTACAGAGTTTCACTGATATTTTTTTTTTCGTATATCGTCGTCGTTCTTCTCCGTTACTTTCAAATTTTAACCCCTTCGTTCACTTTAAGCAATACCGCTTATTCTTCGTTTATTTTTCCACTTTTTATTTTATTTTATTTTATTTTTTTTTTTTTTTTCAGAAATTATATCAGCAGTTTTCTTCTCTGCACTTTTTTTTTAAACAGTTGGTTTTTTTAACACCAATTTTATTGATGTCATTGGTTGATGTGAATTTTTTTTGCATTTTTTTTCTTCGGTGATTTAGTAGTAATAATGTTGTGGACCAATAGATTGTATTTTCAGTAAGAGATTGTTGTTGTTGCTTTTGTTTGATATTTCAAAAAAATATGTTTAATTGGCAAATTTTTAGAGCAACAGATTTTTGGAAGGTTTCTTTTTTTTTTTCTTTATTTAATTCCTCTTCAGTTTATTCTGCTTATTTTTTTTTCGCTCCATCGTCATACTGTCTCAGTTGGAGTTCACAGTTGGTTACCTGGTTTTGGTAAACAGTAAAAGCAAAAAAAAGTACATGTTTTATTCTGTCAACTTCAGCAGCTATTATTAATGTAACCTTTAACAACGGTTAATTGGTTGATTTTCGTTTCATTTAGTGAATGAGACTAAAATGAAAAGTGGAAAAAAAAATAGCTGAAGAAAAAGAAAAAGAAAAGTGGACGGATGAAAGAGGGGACAAAAAAAAAAAAACAGACAAAAAAAGAAAATTGAAAGGACAGAAACTGAACTCTATGTGTTTTTCCATCACAGTTGTTTATTTTCAGTATTGAATACTTGGACCAAAAAAAAAAAAA